TGGGTGATGGCGCACACAAACGACGGTCGGCCCGCGCCGACCCAATGATCTGTGCATTGCCCCGGTCTGGGCCTCGCTGCTGATTTTCTGCTATATCTGTTTATTCGTTTTATCGTGATCCGGTAATGAAGAGCTTAACTGATGATCTGGCCACTGATACTGATGAAAATCCTCCACATGTCTGGTCGTTATCTCAGGACGCTGAGAACGCCCCCGTCCTTTCACAATCAATTATGACTGATAGGGGTATACACCGGAAAATTGCAGTAGGCGTGTCGGCAAAAATAATTAACCGCATATTTTGGTGCTTACCGACGGAATTCATCACCGGAAGGGGCATTATAAATGATCCAGGTGTATCAATAGGCACCGAAATATCTGGTATCTGTTTGTACTTAAGTATGGACCTCTACTGGTTAAGTCGCCTCTACATCATATTAGCCATAATGATTGCAAAGGTAACAACATGAGTTTTTCAATTTCAATTTGCAATTAAGGAGCAAAATTTGATTATGCATTTCGAAAAACAATTTCATTTTTCATCATTTCATATTTTCTCGTCCTATGACGCTCGACACTATCTGACTTTGACGGCCCATGATTGATGTAAGTTGTTACGTGCATTCCGGAGGAACAGTATGCACATAGATAAGACAGTAGTAATAGCCTTATTCCCCGGAGAAAAACCAGGAGAATTGAGATATAGATGCGTAAACATTTCGGCAACATGCCGTCATCGAAAAGAATAGCAGAAGTGGATTCTGCTATATGTAAGTGATGTAAGGGAATTCATTCCTGCTATTCGTTTCGATAAAGGCACGTTGTCGAAATATCAACGCACCTATATCTCCAGTTTTCTTATTCTTCCGAGGAATAAGGCTATTACTAGTCCCCGTCATGATCTATGGCCGCGTTTCTTGAGTTACGCCGGTGACATTTCGCTCAAAAATGAAAATAACGCTCATTTGTCGCAGGAAATATGCTGCTAAGCCATTTTCAACTCTGAGTTTTTGCCTTTATTACTATGACACCACAATATTAATTTCGATGCTTTTGTGATGTCAGATTATCCAAGGTCAGGAAAGTTCAACCTCTGAACCTTTAACCAGATTTGACCTTTTTCAGCTCATACTGTTCCAACCCTTACGGTACATGCCATATATATGTGGAAGGCCTTGGATTGCTCTTGTACCCATTGATGTGGTTTGTTTAGCTCTTGGTATAGTCGAATGGGCCAATGCAACAGTACCCTTCACCCGTTTGACTTGACTTGTCATATCGCAGGTTATAAATGTTACATATCGCAGCATGCTAGCCCTTGCGAATTAGGGAGATGGCCTGTTGAGTGCTAGTTTGACCTCTATGATCTACGTTAACCAGTTTAAGGTCATCTTAATCACTGTTCAGTTACATGTATCTGGCTAAATCGACGACAGCGTCCAAATCTCGTTTTGCCTCGACTCTAGCTTGCAAATTTTCCGAAATCTTAGACGGCCTTCTGAGGCTCCCTAATGACTAAAGAAAGTGCATGTTTTTCTTCGGTTTGGCTAATCCCACATTTAATACTAGATGACCAAGAGTTTTTACTGATAAGACAGTGGTGTTGCTTGGATAAGCGCAGGACGGTAAGGCGATTGACGCGACCGAGGGCAGCCGTATAGCCTATTCGAACTTCAGGGATTCGCCAGGAAGACCAACGCCTTGAAGACCTGCTCTTCATTCAACAACTGCCATGTTCAGCCCCCAGCCATGCCTGCCGCGCCCGCCCGCGCGCCGCCGCGCGTGGCGTTAGGATCCGGATCATGGTCAGCACCCAGTCACGTCCGCCGCGCCCGCCGGCCGCGTCGCCGCCGCGTGGCGTGAGGAGTGTCGACCGGACCCGGCTCATGGTCAGCACCCAGTTACGCCCGCCGCGCCCGCCGGCCGCGTCGCCACCGCGTGGCGTGAGGAGTGTCGACCGGACCCGGATCCGATTCGGATCCGCCCCCACAGTGGCATTTTTATCCGCGGGTCACCGATATAGCACAGATTATCGCACGCGCGGAACGGGTGTAGCCGCCGCTGGTTGAACGCGTCGCATGACGCCACGACGGGTCCGCGGACCAGCTGTCTGCAGCCGACCCCACGCTGCTGGTCGGTGTGGAGGGCTACGAAGGACGGGCGAGCGAGCGCCATCCCACCACCGCGTTCCGAACCAGGCAGGGCCGGCCCGCCTCGGCTCCCACACCCGTCTCATTGCGCTCTCTTCAGCGGCACTGCATTTCGCAACAGCGGAGCCATGGCGTCCTCTTCTCCAGACAGGCCGATCTGCTGTGCCTCCTACTAACGCTGCGGCAGCAGTCATGCCCAGGGTCAGCCCGGAAGACCTATTCCTGAATGGCCTATTGCATAGAACACGTACGCAATAATATAATAAACGTACGCAAATATACGCACGCAAGTCTTTTGCTGGAAGACCTTCTTTGCGGACTGTAGGAAGACAAACTCTATGAAGAGTTGCTGCATAGAATACGCACGCTCGGGGGACCCTTCGTCGGAAGGCATTCTCCTAGACTGCCTACGCTAGGAAAACCGAACGTTGTTCTTCTGTTATCGGGTGAGGGGTTCCGAGTTTGTTCTTATGCCACTGACAGGGGTGGCGCCACCATCTGTTCCTGAAAGGTGTCAAAACTTAGTGCCTCCTGTCCCAACCTTTATCAAAGCAATTTTGTTCGGATTTCGCCCACGTTTCGAAGGCATGTGTTAGTTAGTTCCGGGTCCATTTCCAGTGCAAGGAATGTTCTCTATTGATCATCTGGGCACCCTGTCGCCATGATGGAGCCTTCTGAAATTTAAAGGAGGCAAAAATATTTGTTTGCCCCCGTCTTAAATGTCAAGGGGGCGGCAACCCCTCTGCCAAGTCCCAGCCAGTCCCCGCACCCTAGCTGCACCGCCCGTGACCATGCGTGAGTAATGACTCTCATCATACAGGCGTGACTCTCATCATACAGGCGCCACTCACCCCTCCATCGCCGCTCCCCGCTCTCCACGCTGCTCAACGGTCCTCGGCCGGTGTCGTGCCGCGTCTATCTGAGGGCCATAACGGGCGCCGGAGCTGGGCAGGTTCCGGACAGCCTAGTTCAGCCAATGCCGTTGAGCCATGTGGCTGTGCAACGTGTCAGGCTTAGAGGCCGCCAGGTCGCCTGGCCGTCCTTTCATCCTAGCACAGCTGGCCCTATCCTGCTCGGGGGATCTGCTATGCGCCACGGCCTCTCGCGGCTTGAATAATTGACTCGATAGACGGGCACCGCCGGGAAGACACGTATTAGGTCTTACGGGAGTAAGCACGCCTTCCGAGCGCAAGTATTACGGGAGTGGGTGTTCCCAAAGGACGTCTTCCGACCCTAATCCGAATTTCAGACATATTTTACTGTTATCGGACTACTTAGCGTATACCCGAGGTTAACAAACTATTATATTTATACGCCAGAAGAAAGCCTTTTCGGGAGGAAGACCAGGAAGGCGATAAAGACGTGAATATATTGTACGTCAAACGTAACTTAAATGATGCCGGTTACCTTTGGGACTTACACAGGATGCTTCAGTGAAGCAGTCTCTTCATGAGTTTGGCGGTCAGATAAGTGCAATGCTGTTTGTCATTTGCGCGTATGTGTGCGTAAATAACCATGCGTCGAAACTGGTCGTCTTCAGGCCTGGTGAGGTCTAGAATTTGCGACAGACGAAGTCAAGAAATTTTGAACGA